AATTTGTCAATCGGTTCCGTCATGGTTCTCTTGTCATGCGATTGCCGGATTCTGATGTTGGGCAGATTCCGACGGTCATTTTTGGGACAGTTAATGGTGTTATTGGCGTAATCGCGTCTCTTCCTCTTGAGCAGTACACCTTCCTGGAGAAGCTGCAGGCAACCTTGAGGAAGGTGATAAAGGGTGTGGGAGGTTTGAGTCATGAACAGTGGAGATCATTCTGCAATGAGAAGAAAACGGTGGAATCAAAAAATTTCTTGGATGGAGATCTTATAGAATCATTCCTTGATCTTAGTCGAAATAGGATGGAGGAGATTTCGAAGGCAATGAATGTTCAGTGGAGGAACTTATGAAAAGAGTGGAAGAGCTAACTAGGCTGCATTAGGGCGTATCCTGCTTGGTTGTCCTTCCGTCTTGTTTCACCTTTTCTTATTTTTCTTTGTGGGGAGGGGATTTTCTTTTGATTTGTCTTGTCAATCTCAAAACTAGGTAAATTCTTTTGCCTTAGACCTTTTTTTTTTTTTTTTTGTATTGCATGTTGCATTCTTTCTTCTCATGTAATTTATCTGTTGTTAATTAGATATAGCCAAAAAAAAAAATTCTTGTTTTTAGAAAATGTGTTCTACAGATTAGCAGACATCACCGGGCAAAATTTGTTGCATGGGTGCGGCAATTAATGAGGACTACTTATTTATCAATTCGTAACTTTAGACCGAGGAGCGAATTAAAGTTGTTTAATTTTCAAGGTCACTCATTTAATCATTTTGTACAATCAGTATCAAAAAATCTAAAGAAAGAAGTGTAGGGAGAACTCAGGTACACAAAATTAGAGGGAATAGCCGAATGGGTGCAGCTGATAGGCCTTGACAAGGTTTTCATAGGGTAAATTATTTTACATAAAAAAAAAACTAGCATTTTACCGAGATGAATTTTAATCATTCAAATTTGAATTTGGGTGTAACATTTTTTTTAATCATTAAAAAGTAGCATTTGCCTTAGATGAATTTTAATCATTCAAAATTTACCTAGATGAATTTTAATCATTCAAGATTGAATTATTGTTCAGAAAATGAATTTTGATGAGGTGAATTTTTCTGATTTTGGCAATTTGTTAGACAAGCTCAGGATGTTTTGTAAAACCTTTTAAAAATGTAAAATCTTCCATGTTTTAGAAGTTGAAATTTGCCTACCTATGTTTTAGTAAAACTCTCTCTTGGTTTGGAATGTGGAACTATCTAGTGGGATGATTTCCCTCTTTCATTAATCAAAGCTGAAATCTATGAGTTAAATGAAAGCAATTTTGTTTTACCCTAAAAAAAAATGGTTGCAACATGGCTATGTATATTATGAAAACATAAGCAACTAATTTCACACTTCTAAAATATATTGCACTTAGATTAGACTGTGGAACTTTTTATTTTTTGGGTTTAACAAATGGATGTTGTAACAACCCCCCCCCCCCCCCCAACCCCCATCAAACCCCCCCAAAAAAAAAATAATAACGAGAACAAAAATGCTTAGCAGTCCTTGGAGCTTCCTCGTCCATTGTAGCACCTACCAAAGGTATTGTTCCACGTTTTAACTTCTCTTGGCCAGCAATCTCCGGCTAGTTTCCTAGGGTCTCAGACTTTCAAACACATTTTTCTCCCAAAACTTGTTACCAAAAATCTGAACCGGAGCTGCAATTTGAGGAACCATGGAAAATGAAATCCTGCAAAAGATGGCCTCACTCTGTTTAACTGATGAAGATAGCTCTCAACTAACAAAGCAAGAATCAGGCAACCTTAGATCTCTAATGGAGCTCAAGAATAGCTGCTACGGGAGCCTGTTCTCAGACAAGAAAAATGTGGCTGTGAATGTAACCGTTGCAGGGCTAAGAAACACAATGATCAAGGCCTGGAACTGCAACAAGGATGGTCTTGCGGTTCGAAGATTCAATGATGGCGTGTACCAATTTTTCTTCAAGTATAGACAAGATCTCAACAGGGTTTTCAGTCAAAGCAGTTGGAGGTTTGGAAATAACCTCCTGAAACTTCATAGGTGGAGATTTGGCAAAGATGTTATCGACGAGGAATTTCATCGGACACATTTCTGGATTCATGTTACTGGTCTTCCTAGGCAACATTACACTAAAGAAGTCGGGTTGATGATTGGTGGAATCTTCAATGGTTGTTCAGTGGTTCAGATTAGGGAGAAAGTTCAAGGTGGGGCGAGGTTTTTTCGAGTACGAGCACTGGTGAACACTATGGAACCAATAAGAAAGGAGTTGAAGATTAGGCTACCATCCCAAGCAGTTGAATCATTTGCTTTCTTGAAGTATGAACGGCTTCCCAAATTCTGTTACTTCTGTGGTCGAATCGGGCATAGAGTGAGAAATGTTTCCATGCTAGAGAGTCAGAAGTGGATGATATGGGGGATTATCAGTACGGCGATTGGCTGAATGCAGATCATGGATGGTCGTCGATCTTGCAGGAAATTAATCTTCAAGAGGTTCTTGATCAGCAGGAGAATCCAAGGCGAGGAAGAGCTGCTATGGGCGAGGAAGAATTGCCGGATTTTATGGAAGAATAGTTGAGGATTCTTTTTTTTTTTTTTTCTTTTTCTTTTCGGGGGGGGGGTTATTTTTGTGGGATGAGATAAATGTATTTTTGACGGGGGGAAATTGGAACCTGAGTTCAAAATTAAAATTGACATGACTCATCTAGGAGGGAAGGTATCTAGAGGGGCATTTGAAATTGGCATGTGCATGTGAAGGTGAGTACAATATGGTGTACTGTAGGGATGGCAATGGGGGCGGGTGCCCGCGCGGGGGGCTCTCGGGGCGGGGGTTGGGGCGGGGGGGAATTTTTTCCCCCGCTTAGAAACGGGGCGGGGGGCGGGAGTATACCCCGCCCCATCTCCCGCCCCGCCCCCCGCAAAAAAAAAAAAAAAAAATATATATATATATATATAATTATATATAATATGTAAGTTAATTAGTTATAAACTTATGATAATGATATTATTAGTTAGATGTATTATATAATGTATATTAGTTTATGTAATATAATTGATATTATCAATTATATGAATAATTCTACATGTCTACTAATAGAATTTATTAATTAGTTATACTAAATTTACTAATACATTTATACTAAATTTCTAATTACACTTAATAGAATAACACTTTTTTCTCAAAAAAAAGCACAAACACAATAATGAATTAGTGATTGCATTTGTACTAAAAGTGAAAACTTGACTATTTTAGTTATATTTATTTCATCATATTGGATTGTATTCAAATAACTTATGTTTGATTGTTTTTATGAGTTTCAATTGTAAAATTACAATGAATAATAATTTGGTGATGTGTTAATATTTTAGTACTTGATTATTTATTAAAATGTAATTATAATAAAATTATATAATAAAATTTTATTAACCCCGCGGGGGCACCCGCGAGGGAAGCGGGGCAAGGCGGGGCGGGGGCGGGGCGGGGCGGGGGAGCAGGAGGCGGGGGACGGGGCGGGGGACGGGGGGAACTAATAGGCAACGGGGCGGGGGACGGGGGAGGGGTCCCCCGCCCCAACCCCGCCCCGTTGCCATCCCTAGTGTACTGCCCCATTTGCTGAAATTGGCATATGTGTTGTTTTGCAGTATCACACTATCACCTTCTCTCCAAAAATTGCTTGAAATTGCTATGGGGCTTGTTGAAAGGGGTTCAAAGTGTGTTTAATAAAAAATTAAAATTAGATTGAAGAAAAGACTAGAAGAGGAATAATTAATTTGATTGAGTATGCCTAATTATATGATAATTTTATGTATAATAACTAGTTTCCTTTAAGCACCTTTTAACTAAAATCCAATAGTATTGCACATTAACCTGGTCAAGTTTTTTTTTTTTTTTTTTGCATATATTCATTTTGATAGATGAAAAGAATTTCTGACTACTTATCAACTCAGACAAACAAGAAAATTTTTTGAGGGGAAGCTTATGAGTTTTCAAGATCCAAGTAAGCCAAAAGCATATTTTCCGAGCCAACCAACATAAGACCACATACGTGACCAAGTTATCTTGAGGTAAATATCAACAAGTTTTAACTATTGGATCAAGGTCAGCGACAAGACTTTTAGAGCTCTCCTGTACTTTAGGTCCATATTTCAAATTCCACCTAGTGAATTAAGGGGAGGCGCAATTCTTCCTTTTGTCAAAAAATTTAAAGAGTGTAATAGTGCACTTGTCTGGAGGTTCACCTTCAGTTGTATATAAATCCTATACAAGTCCGATTGGATTCTTCATTTGTCAAATCTGGGTGCTCACCTTCAATTCTATATATAACTCTAATACAAGTCTAGTTGAACTCAGTTGTGTATATAAAACCTCATACAAGTCCAATTGGATTCCTCATTTGTCTAGTCTGGACAGTCACCTTCAGTTTTTGTATAAGTCTAATATAAATCTAGTTGAACCCTCCCCTTCTTCCCATTGTATGAAAGTAGAATAGATTGTTGATGTTGACAAAAAAATCATTAATAAGTCTTAAAAGTCGAGTCTAGCATGGTAAAGAAAAAGCAACTTTTACTTCACTTGCTTATTAAGATATAGATATATACACACACACACACACATATATATATATAGACACACACGTGTGCGTGTGTGGATGGATATTTGTCAAAAATTTTGAGGGAGGTTTCTGAAATTATCCTTTCTTCTTTTAAATTAAACAATTTTAAAAGAGAAAGGGCAAAAAGCTACTATGTGTGGACGGATATTTGAGCCCTGTTGTGCAAAACGAGATCAATTGCATAAATAGGAATTGTACTTACATTCCAGTTTAGGGCAAATTATCCAATTGGCCCTTGAACTCTTTGTCTAGGTAAAACTAAGCCCCTCATCTATTTTTTGCTGACTTTAAGCCCTCGAACTTGTAAAATTGGGCACCCGTGACCTTTTTAGCCAGTTTCTCCGGTTTTGCAATCGGAAGGCCAATTCACACGAATGCCATTGTGCTTCTTCAAAGGGCATTTTTGTCCACATCTTCTAAGCAAAAAGGGAACAACTCCTCGTCATTCCCTCTGCAAAACCCTCGCCGCCGCCGCTTTCTCAACCTGACCCTCATCCGATTTTGACCTTGCTTTGTCTTGAGATACATCAGCTGTACCACCGGCAAAATCAAGCCGTACAAAGCCGCGGCTGCAAGCGTCATGAGGAACCCCAAAACATACATCTTGGTGGACTCACCCTTGGGCTGGTCACTACTGGTGTGCATAGCCAGAACCCTAGCTCCCACGGCCAGCAAAACAATGGCGTTGACTGAATATGCAGCAAACTTCTGCTGGACAAGAAGGAAAGCAAAGACAGCTGTGAAAGCAAGCTGTGAAGCAATGATGATGGAAGAGGTCGAAACAGGGAGTCGAGCCATTCCGTAGGCGTACAAGTAGTCGCCTATGCTGGTCAGGAGGCCGATGACGGCGGCGGCAATGAATAGAGGATATTTCATCAATACTAGCTTGGTATTTGGCCTTTCAATTTTGCGGCCATGGAAATAGGAGATGAGTAGTGGGATGGCAATAATAGGAAATCCTACGGTTTGTAACCAACCGAAAGCCAGATTCTTTTGCCTCTTTTGACAAAGTAGAGACGCATGATTATAGAGTGATTAGACCAGTCTTTTGTCCTCTTGATTAGTTTATAAATTTTTTCTCCCAGCAAACTAGATTACGTCAGAAAAACAGCTCAATTGAACCAGTTCAAGGTCAATGCATACAAAAAGAAAAAAGGAAAGAAGAACCGATTGGAAACACCTAAGAAGACCCTCAGGCTTAGAAGGGAGCCAAGTACTCCTCAAGGCTTCTCGGCGATCTGACGAGGAAAACCCCGTCTGAATTCCGACGAACCCAAGAAGCTTCCGCCGCCCGTGCCAGTGGCATTTCCGATGCCAGAGTCTCCTCCTCCGAGTCGCCAAGTGCTGGAAAGAGAATAGAAGGCTCTGAAAGTGTCCTGAATGAGACCACAGCGGAAGATAGGAGCGGGCCTAGGGTGAAGGACGGCGAGGAGAAAGAAGCTGATTCCGGCAACGCCGATGAGGAAGTAGAGAGCTGAAATTACGGTAATGGGTAGGGGAGTCCGAGGTCGGGATGGGATTTGAAGTGGTGAAATTACGACTTGGCCGGAAGTGATGAATTTTTCTGCTTCGATCTGTCGAAAGTTGAAACTTGCCAAAGCTGTGACAAAAATGCCCTTTGAAGAAGTACAATAACATTCATGTGAATTGGCCTTCCGGTTGCAAAACCGGAGAAACTGGCTAAAAGGGTCACAAGTGCCCAATTTTACAAGTTCGAGGGCTTAAAATCAGTAAAAAATAGATGAAGGGCTTATTTTTACCTAGACAAAGAGTTCAAGGGCCAATTGGATAATTTGCCCTTCCAGTTTATATCAAACTATGGCTTAGGGCATCCACAGTGAATTAGTGTAATCCGCAGGCTACATGAGCATTTCACTATCTCCTCTTTTATTATACTCTCACTCATAATGTATTACATTCCACACGATATAATAGTATGGGTCCACAATCAAATCAAATATTTATTTCAATAATGCACAACTCATATCCCATAAATAAATAAAGTAAATTTTAAAAAATAATAATTATTTTTAAAAAATAATTATTACCTTTCATTAAATTTTTTACCTTTTGGATTTTTTTTTTCTAAAAAATAATATTATTAATTTTTGAGTTTGAACAATATATCTTTTTTCTATCTCTTAAAAATAATGTATTGTTATTTTTTGAAAATAATTATGTAATTATTAAACAAATATGTGATACCTCAAATGTGAAAATATCATAATAATCCATACTTAATTAATAATTCTTTATGTAATTAATTGAACTCCATAACATAATATTACATAATTTAAATCAAATAAAATATAAATAACATAATGAAATTTTAAAAAATTGTGCAAAGAGGTTGAGGAAAATGAGTGAGCGAGTAAGAGAAATAATAGAGTATGATAGTGAAATATGAAAAAAAGGGTTTTCTTGCGTGTTTTATATAGAGAGAACCAAAATATGACCGTTGAAAAATTGCAAATTTAACTTGATGCATCAAACTTTAGCCGTTGTCCATGCCTAACCAAATTTATTTGTTGCTCCGAAATGGCCCACCATTTTTTTTCAGTAACATTACATGCATCAACAGAATGATGCATGTAATGCTCATTACACGAACACGGCCACAACGGGTGGCCGTGTAATGAGTTCATGTCATGGGATTATACCTCCCATGACACTCCACTGGAGATGCTCTTAGGTATCATTTACTAGTTATTCTCCAGCCCATAGTGTTTTGAATGATTTACGTTTTGGTGTTTCTTACTTTTTTTGATCTTCCTAATATACTCGCACTAATTATGATAATAGCTTAACTATAGAGGACAAAATTGTCATATTTAATCAACATAGTGAAATAATATAGTCTTACTCTCCTATCAAAATATGAATTCTTAATCTTGAATCTTAACATATCAAATTTGGCTGAATCAAACCCCAATCAAGCTCTACAAGAGCCAATTAAATCAGCATAACTATCCCCGAACAATGACATCAAAAAAAAAGAAAAAAGGTAATATTTAAAATGATCTTATCCGAAATACAATTTCATATAGTCATAGGAATAAAATAAACAGAGATATGGGGCAATCCGTGTTGACAATTGAAATCCACTTTCTTAGATGAAGCTATAAAGATGCCACTTCCTCTGATATTAGCACTTTAATTCACCACAATGATACTCCTATCCATAGAACAAATCAATGTAATTGTTTATGATTTCAACTTACGATAATTGGAAACAAAATGAATGCTTCCATAGTTATGATCCGAGAACACATTCCACTAAGTAAAAAATTTATGCCTTCACTATGAGAAACCTTGGCGGAGCATAATACTATGCCATGGCAGGACTAATACAACATCATTGCATTGTAATTTATTTTTAATTGATCTTTGTTTATCGATTTGGTAGGTATATATTTTATGCTTGACTATCTATAGGAGTTCAACGGCTCCTGTTATGTATATTTAGAACAAAGTATTCCAATAGGAGTTAGCCGTATAATCTGGTCTAAATTTGGCAAGTCTAAGTGAAGTGATAAATCTATTGCTATCTATTGCTAAGAGGTATAACATAAAAAAAGAATTTATTGGTTAAGAGGTATTCATAGGGGAACTTAGGTATAGTTTAAATATTTTAGCGAGTGCTCATTGGATACCCGTTAGAAAAATTCTTCAAAAATTATTATTTTAATAAAATTGTTTAAGGTGTCTATTTTTATCTTCATTCATTGCTAAGTTAACCATGTGGTGGTGATAAACCAATGCATAGTAGCTCTATTCATCAATGTTGTCTTGGAAAATATAATTAAGTAGTTAATTCATTAATATTATCCCTCTGTACAGCTAAAGGAAACAAGTAGGAAGTATTGATGTAGTTAAAATGACTGTATTCATAACTGTGTTCAAAGAGTTTCATGAAGATGGTCTAAAAATGGGAAAAAAAAAGATGGTACCATTTAATAATATCCCCAATATGTAAGTGATTGATCAGACATATGATTGTCTATTAGTTTTGTATTGTATGTAGATATGTATTTGAGTTTAAATTGCTCTTTGTATTAGAGAAATATTATTATTCTTGAGTTACCTAAATTATAGCATTCTTTATCTGTATAATCACGTGTAATTTATTATTATTTATGAGAATTTAACCACAAATAACTTTCTTTAAGCTCATTTTCACTGTTGCAGTCTATAACTCAAGCAAAAGTTTCCATTTTAACTTAATTTTTAAAGTACAAGGCTATAGTTATTATCAATAACATATAGAAATGCTTCTCTTCAAAAAAAAAAAACATACAGAAAAGCTTTCCAATTTCAAAATGGAAACTAGGAGAAAAATGCCACACATAATGTTATTATTGCAATTATTACCTTGTAGAAATTCCGATAGAAGTTTTCTCAAGTTCATAGTGGATACAATTAGCAATTGCAGCTTAGAGAAGAAAAGATAATTGAAGATTTGTGTTTGTGTTATAATGTAGTTCTAATCATAGTTATTAAACCCAACCCGGGAAGGAACCCGGCGAAGGAGGTGGGTCAATGGGTTACTGGTTCAACCGGTGGGTGAATAGTTGAACCGATGGGTCACTAAATATATTTAAATATTATATTTCATAATTTTTAATATAAGATATATGATATAAATTGTAATAAATAATGCCATAGCAAAAGCTCATTTAATTTAATTTGCTATAAAATAATTAATTCATATAAGAATCAATCAAATATAAAGTTATTTAGTAATACACAAAACTTCAAGTGTAAAATTTTATCAATATTTAGTGTAATTATCTAATTTATTTATGAATTTTAAGTGTAAAAAATTATTAAAATAATATTTGTCTTTAAATTGAATTATATAATATGATATTTTGAAATCTATTTTATAACTTATAGAGTTTGATAGGTAATAAATTTTTATTAAAAGATTCCAATATATTTGTTTTGGAGAAAAAAAAGGTAGAATTGAAAAAACATTTATATATTATAATAAAGGTAGTTTATTAGCATATTTCAAAGTAGCCTGGTGGTAAGTATGTTGTAGTGTTGGGCAAAGGTTCAAGGTTCAAACTCCAACAAAGGCAATAAAATTTTTTCACAAAACCGAATTCAAGGACAAAACCGGCCGGGTTTTCGAGTTAATCCAGTCGGACCGCCGGATCATTCACTAGTCAACAGTCCCCTTGCTCAAATGATCTGATTTGAAACACGGCCCGGTCCAATGATCAGGTCACCGATTTGACCGGTTTGACCGTCGGACCGGACTGGATTTAATAACTATGGTTCTAATCTTAGATCTCAAAAAGTTTCTAAACATATTCGCATTAGTAATCAGATCTGTCAATCGGGTTTTGTGAGGTGGATTTTGGCAAGTCTGAACTTGGCTCACAATTAATAGGGCTTTCGGTTTTCAAGCCCAAATTAGAAGGCTTAAGTTGAGCTCATATTTTATATGAGCTTAGGGATCAAATCAAACTCCATCCAAACCCATAATTAAATACATAACATAATACTTATATACGGGTCAGGCCTTAATCGGATCTAAGCTTAAAAAGGTTCAAAATCGGTTTATACTTGATTTGAGCCTAATATTCAGGCCAAAGTTTTGTCTAACTCAATTAAATATTAGGCTCAACAGGCTTTTTTTAGATCAGGGACAATCCTATCAGAGGTAGGTTAAAAGTTATTAAAAGTTGGATATCATTATATATAAGTTTCCAATGCTATTAAAAGTATTGACTCTAATCAATTTATAGGACTAACAATAGGATAGTTATGGGTTCACAAAAAAAAATTTTAGACTTAAGATCATCATGCCTGCCAAAAAAAAAAAACTATTTGGTTGAAAATTTTTTCAATTAGATCCTAAAACCTTA